ATTCATATAAAGGTATTATAATATTAGATATTGAATCAAATGGGAATTATAAACCTTATTAACTCCAAGACGTAATTTTACCTATAACTCACAAACCCCCATTAAAAATTCGAAACAAAACAATTCAGATCCAAATCGACATTTAAACCTCTTGGTTTTAGAGTCTGTAACTCAAATATCCAAAAAGTTTCATTCTTCAAAATAGCTTTAATTTTATCGCCCCCTCTCCAATGTGTATCAACCCTATCAATACCACTAAATTTTAGACCACTCGGGTCACAATTGTGACAATCCCTAAAATGTCTAGAAAGACAATGGTCCTTCTTACCTTTTTTAATATTTGGGACATGTTCATTCAATCTTTTGTACTGTGACCTCTTAGTCCTACCCACATACTGGAGCTGACACGGGCATTCTAACAGATAGGTGACATAGGGGGTAGTACAGGTAATAAAATTCTTAATATTATAATTAACACCTGTACTGCATGATATAAAACTTGAAAATACCCTCGTATTGGTATTGGTAACTTTACACATAATACATTTTTTACAGGGGTAAAAACCAATAAAATCAAACATGTATGTTTTCTTTTGTTTGGGAGGAGATATAATATTCTTAACTAAAACATCCCTCAAGTTTTTTGTTTTCCTATAAATAAATGTAGGTTTTCTCGCGATCTCAGGTCCTAAAACATAATCTTTTCTCAGTAAAGGCCAATATTTATAAAAAAACGGATTCAACTTCTTTATACTGGTTACTGTATCCTGAGATGAATGCATATTCCACTTTATTATTATAATTTTTCTTTTTAGATACAGGTTTGAGTTTCTTATTTCCTATATACCTCTTACTTACTTCAAACCTTGTCTTTTCCAGTACTGCTGGGTTATACCCCTTTTCAATATATCTGTTCTTAATAATTTCTGTCTGTTCAATATATTCTTTTAAACACGTACAATTTCTAAAAATTCTCAAAAATTGTCCTTTTGGGATCCCATTGATCCAGGTAGGATGGTGACAACTATGGGTGGGCATATACCCATTCCTGTCTGTTTCTTTAAAATAAGTTTTTGTCAAAATTACATTATCTTCTATAAAAATATTCAAATCCAAGAAATTCACAGAACACATATCCATAGTCACCGTAAAACCCAAATTGTACTCATTATTTTCTATTACGTCAATAAAAGCTTTTAACGTGTCCATAGGACCATCCCAGATAAGCAGGATGTCATCAATGTATCTTTTCCATAAAACTAACCCCTCCCATTTCTTATTAAAAATAACATTCTCCTCCCATTTACTCAAATAAATATTAGCTAGGCTGGGCGCAAATTTTGCGCCCATTGCCACTCCCCTCTTTTTTTTATAGAAGCTACCTCCATACCAAAAATAATTACTATTCATACAGAACTCTAAAAGTGTAATAATAAATCTTCTTTGTTTTATGTGCAAGTCTGAAAATTTTTTTAAACCCCATTTCACCGCTTTAATTCCATCCTCATGTCTTATATTGGTATATAAGGAATTTACGTCGATGGTTACTAATATAGTATCACTCGAGACTTTTCTAAGTTCAACCAAATCAATGACATCTTGAGCATCTCTCAGGTATGATGGCATTTGTTTCACTATAGGCTGAAGAAAAAAATCAATATATTTTCCAGTCCTGGAGTGAATACCTCCAATACCATTGATAATTGGTCTGCCTGGGGGATTAATTAAACTTTTATGTATCTTAGGTAAATAATATATAATAGGTAATTTACAATGTAATGGGACTAGATATCTCGCTTCCTTCTCATTTAAAATACCATCTTTCTCTATGTATCTGTATCTTTTAAAATATTTCTCATATTTTAAAAGATACAGATACATATACTAAAATTAAAAATAATCCATTGAGTAAATATAAAAAAAAACACTCCAAGAAGTAATCAATAAAGCGAAGAAAGATGGTGTTTTTAGATGATGAGAAGGAAGTGAGATATCTAGTCCCATTACATTGTAAATTACCTATTATATATTATTTACCTAAGATACATAAAAGTTTAATTAATCCCCCAGGCAGACCAATTATCAATGGTATTGGAGGTATTCACTCCAGGACTGGAGAATATATTTTTTTTTCTTCAGCCTATAGTGAAACAAATGCCATCATACCTGAGAGATGCTCAAGATGTCATTGATTTGGTTGAACTTAAAAAAGTCTCGAGTGATACTATATTAATAGTAACCATCGACGTAAATTCCTTATATACCAATATAAGACATAAGGGTGGAATTAAAGTGGTGAAATGGGGTTTAAAAAAATTTTCAGACTTGCACATAAAACAAAGAAGATTTATTACTACACTTTTAGAGTTCTGTATGAATAGTAATTATTTTTGGTATGGAGGTAGCTTCTATAAACAAAAGAGGGGAGTGGCAATGGGCACAAAATTTGCGCCCAGCCTAGCTAATATTTATTTGAGTAAATGGGAGGAGAATGTTATTTTTAATAAGAAATGGGAGGGGTTGGTTTTATGGAAAAGATACATTGATGACATCCTGCTTTTCTGGGATGGTCCTATGGACACGTTAAAAGCTTTTATTGACGTAATAGAAAATAATGAGTACAATTTGGGTTTTACGGTGACTATGGATATGTGTTCTGTGAATTTCTTGGATTTGAATATTTTTATAGAAGATAATGTAATTTTGACAAAAACTTATTTTAAAGAAACAGACAGGAATGGGTATATGCCCAATCATAGTTGTCACCATCCTACCTGGATCAATGGGACAATTTTTGAGAATTTTTAGAAATTGTACGCGTTTAAAAGAATATATTGAACAGACGGAAATTATTAAGAAAAGATATATTGAAAAGGGGTATAACCCAGCAGTACTGGAAAAGACAAGGTTTGAAGTAAGAGGTATATAGGAAATAAGAAACTCAAACCTGTATCTAAAAAGAAAAATTATAATAATAAGGTGGAAAATGCATTCATCTCAGGATACAGTAACCAGTATAAAGAAGTTGAATCCATTTTTTATAAATATTGGCCTTTACTGAGAAAAGATTATGTTTTAGGATCTGAGATCCCGAGAAAACCTACATTTATTTATAGGAAAACAAAAAAACTTGAGGGATGTTTTAGTTAAGAATATTATATCTCCTCCCAAACAAAAGAAAACATATATGTTTGATTTTATTGGTTTTTACCCCTGTAAAAAAGTATTATGTGTAAAGTTACCAATTCCAATACGAGGGTATTTTCAAGTTTTATATCATGCAGTACAGGTGTTAATTATAATATTAAGAATTTTATTACCTGTACTACCCCCTATGTCACCTATCTGTTAGAATGCCCGTGTCAGCTCCAGTATGTGGGTAGGACTAAGAGGCCACAGTACAAAATATTGAATGAACATGTCCCAAATATTAAAAAAGGTAAGAAGGACCATTGTCTTTCTAGACATTTTAGGGATTGTCACAATTGTGACCCGAGTGGTCTAAAATTTAGTGGTATTGATAGGGTTGATACACATTGGAGAGGGGGCAATAAAATTAAAGCCATTTCGAAGAATGAAACTTTTTGGATATTTGAGTTAAAGACTCTAAAACCAAGAGGTTTAAATGTTTATTTGGATCTGAATTGTTTTGTTTCGAATTTTTAATGGACTTTCCCCCGCAATATCACAGTCCTGCTATAAGTCACTGATCACCACCATTACTAGTATTTTAAAAAACATTGCAGTATATATACTGCCATTTGTAGATACTAAACCAATCAATATATGCTTATTGGGATCTTTTTTTACTAAATGTATGTAGCAGAATACATTTTGGCCTAAATCTACGAAGAAATTAGATTTTTACAATTTTATTGGGTCTGTTTTATAGCAGAAAGTAAAAAAAATTTTTTTTTTTTTTTGTTTTTTTTTTTTTTAAATGCCGGTGCTTTTTCATTTATAGTGCAAAAACGTTTTAAAAAACTCAGAGGTGATCAAATACAACTAAAAGAAAACTCTATTTGTGGGGAAAAAATGACATACATTTAATTTATGCACAACGTTGCATGACCGCGCAATTATCATTTAAAGTAACGCAGAGCTGCAACGCAAAAAATAGCCAGGTCATGAAGGGGAGTAAATTATCTGCCATTTTGATCTAAGATCTTAAAAAAAAAAAGTCAGATATCTATCTGGTTACTGAGTTTGAGGATTTTCCAAGTGTTTAGGCATTGATGCAGCAACATTTGTGTATGTGAGACACAGCAAGGGGTCTACAGAGGGTGTGGTTAGGAATATGTTGTGCATTATAAACAGAGAAGCAAAGAGGTTCCCAGATTACAGGAAGAAGGTAGTGGGGTGGAGTGGTGCATTAGCTCTGAGCAGGTAGTTTGTGTTCCCTGTATATGTTTTAAAGTATATTTTTAAATTTTTAATGGCATGTATACTTAAAGCAGAACCTCAAAAAAAGTGTTCTTTTTAATAAACAAAATTTCTTTTGAACAAATTAGTGTTGAAATTGAAGTGCCACATCTTCGAGTCTGTGTCCATTGAAAACAAGAGGAAATGCTCATTTGTGTTAGAAGCCAAAGCAGTTTCCACCTATCCCATCTCTAGTTACTATTTAATTTCAGATTTATGGAGAAAATCATTATCTTTATGGCACATAACATGAAATAAATGAGCTATATAATACTACATATTTGAGTACCACACGAACACAAACAAATATTCACATCAGCCCCCTTCCAAAAGGAGCTTACAATCTAATTTTTCTATGACAGCCATCACATTCTCAGTCCAATGTTTATTAACTTCCCAGTATTTTCTTAGATCAGGGAGGAAACCAAAATATGCAGAGGAATTTATATTTTATTTGCTTGATGGGATATGATTTCAGAACCTCAGTGAAGTAAAGAAAGAACCTTAGCCACCACAAACACATATTGCAAATTATAGTATATTTGTCACAAAAATTAATACAGATTACTTGTTTTCAGCTTTGGAAAAAATTCATTCGCCTGTTCTACAACTTTGTTGTCCTGTTTATTCCTTGGGAGATGAGAATAAAGAAGATAGAAAGTAAGTGTAATAAATTGATTTATCAACATATAACATGATTTGTATAAGTCCTAATACTTGACCAGTCTGAAGAAATGGTATCTCCTTAGATGGGTAAGTAGGTTGTTTTACCAATTTAAAAAATTAGATTTATTCTACACTGTGATTACTGGAGGAATCTTACTCTTACCACCAGACTAATGATAGCACACAAAGGGGTCCATTTATATTTAATCTTATTTTGTTGATTTTTCAAAACAAAAGTCTTCAATATATTGACATTAAATATGTGTGGCATCAATTTTGAATTCAAAACCATCCAAACATGTAATTCCAGCATAACATCAGTTTCAAGAAAATACAATTTATGGCTCATTAACATAAACAATATATACAGTATCTATGAAGTAAGAGCTCATATAAAATTATATTATTTGGAAACTAGTAAGATCCAGTAATTTAATGCCATGGTTGTATCTGATGAAATTTCCTAATAAATGAACTAAGCATGGAGAGGATGTAGCTCTTTCTAGGCGAATATATCATTTTGTTTGTGGATGTACAGCGAAGGAAATACTGTATTTTCGCGCTCCATAAGACACACCTGACCATAAGACGCACCTAGGTTTTAGAGGCAGAAAACAAGAAAAAAAATATTCTGAATCAATGGACTGCAGACATAGTACAGGAGATGACCAGAGACTGCAGACATAGTACAGGAGATGACCAGAGACTGCGGACACAGTACAGGAGATGACAAGAGACTGCAGACATTGTACAGGAGATGACCAGAGACTGCGGACATAGTAGAGGAGATGACCAGAGACTGCGGACATAGTACAGGAGATGACCAGAGACTGCGGACATAGTACAGGAGATGACCAGAGACTACAGACATAGTACAAGAGATGACCAGAGACTGCGGACATAGTACAGGAGATGACCAGAGACTGCGGACACAGTACAAGAGATGACCAGAGACTGCGGACAGTGCAGGGGATGACCAGAGACTGCGGACAGTACAGGAGATGACCAGAGACTGTGGACAGTAGTATAGGAGATGACCAGAGACTGCGGACATAGTACAGGAGATGACCAGAGACTGCAGACAGTACAGGAGATGACTAAGAGACTGCGGACAGTACAGGAGATGACTAAGAGACTGCAGACATAGTACAGGAGATAACCAGAGACTGCGGACATAGTACAGGAGATGACCAGAGACTGCGGACATAGTACAGGAGATGACCAGAGACTGTGGACATAGTACAGGAGATGACCAGAGACTGCGGACATAGTACAGGAGATGACCAGAGACTGCGGACACAGTACAGGAGATGACAAGAGACTGCGGACATAGTACAGGAGATGACCAGAGACTGCGGACATAGTACAGGAGATGACCAGAGACTGCGGACATAGTACAGGAGATGACCAGAGACTGCGGACATAGTACAGGAGATGACCAGAGACTGCGGACATAGTACAGGAGATGACCAGAGACTGCGGACACAGTACAGGAGATGACAAGAGACTGCGGACATAGTACAGGAGATGACCAGAGACTGCGGACATAGTACAGGAGATGACCAGAGACTGCGGACATAGTACAGGAGATGAACAGAGACTACAGACATAGTACAAGAGATGACCAGAGACTGCGGACATAGTACAGGAGATGACCAGAGACTGCGGACACAGTACAAGAGATGACCAGAGACTGCGGACAGTGCAGGGGATGACCAGAGACTGCGGACAGTACAGGAGATGACCAGAGACTGTGGACAGTATAGGAGATGACCAGAGACTGCGGACATAGTACAGGAGATGACCAGAGATTGCAGACAGTACAGGAGATGACTAAGAGACTGCGGACAGTACAGGAGATGACTAAGAGACTGCAGACATAGTACAGGAGATGACCAGAGACTGCGGACAGTACAGGAGATGACTAAGAGACTGCGGACAGTACAGGAGATGACTAAGAGACTGCAGACATAGTACAGGAGATGACCAGAGACTGCAGACATAGTACAGGAGATGACCAGAGACTGCAGACATAGTACAGGAGATGACCAGAGACTGCGGACATAGTACAGGAGATGACCAGAGACTGTGGACATACTACAGGAGATGACCGGAGACTGTGGACATACTACAGGAGATGACCGGAGACTGTGGACATAGTACAGGGGATCACCAGAAACTGCGGACACAGTACAGGGGATGACCAGAGACTGCGGACACAGTACAGGAGATGACCAGAGACTGCGGACACAGTACAGGGGATGACCAGAGACTGTGGACACAGTACAGGGGATGACCAGAGACTGCGGACACAGTACAGGAGATGACCAGAGACTGCGGACATAGTACAGGAGATGACCAGAGACTGCGGACATAGTACAGGAGATGACCAGAGACTGCAGACAGTACAGGAGATGACTAAGAGACTGCGGACAGTACAGGAGATGACTAAGAGACTGCGAACATAGTACAGGAGATGACCAGAGACTACAGACATAGTACAAGAGATGACCAGAGACTGCGGACATAGTACAGGAGATGACCAGAGACTGCGGACACAGTACAAGAGATGACCAGAGACTGCGGACAGTGCAGGGGATGACCAGAGACTGCGGACAGTACAGGAGATGACCAGAGACTGTGGACAGTATAGGAGATGACCAGAGACTGCGGACATAGTACAGGAGATGACCAGAGACTGCAGACAGTACAGGAGATGACTAAGAGACTGCGGACAGTACAGGAGATGACTAAGAGACTGCAGACATAGTACAGGAGATGACCAGAGACTGCGGACATAGTACAGGAGATGACCAGAGACTGCGGACATAGTACAGGAGATGACCAGAGACTGCGGACATAGTACAGGAGATGACCAGAGACTGCGGACACAGTGCAGGAGATGACAAGAGACTGCAGACATAGTACAGGAGATGACCAGAGACTGCGGACATAGTACAGGAGATGTCCAGAGACTGCGGACATAGTACAGGAGATGAACAGAGACTACAGACATAGTACAAGAGATGACCAGAGACTGCGGACATAGTACAGGAGATGACCAGAGACTGCGGACACAGTACAAGAGATGACCAGAGACTGCGGACACAGTACAGGGGATGACCAGAGACTGCGGACAGTACAGGAGATGACCAGAGACTGTGGACAGTATAGGAGATGACCAGAGACTGCGGACATAGTACAGGAGATGACCAGAGATTGCAGACAGTACAGGAGATGACTAAGAGACTGCGGACAGTACCGGAGATGACTAAGAGACTGCAGACATAGTACAGGAGATGACCAGAGACTGCGGACAGTACAGGAGATGACTAAGAGACTGCGGACAGTACAGGAGATGACTAAGAGACTGCAGACATAGTACAGGAGATGACCAGAGACTGCAGACATAGTACAGGAGATGACCAGAGACTGCAGACATAGTACAGGAGATGACCAGAGACTGCGGACATAGTACAGGAGATGACCAGAGACTGTGGACATACTACAGGAGATGACCGGAGACTGTGGACATACTACAGGAGATGACCGGAGACTGTGGACATACTACAGGAGATGACCGAGACTGCGGACATAGTACAGGGGATCACCAGAGACTGCGGACACAGTACAGGGGATGACCAGAGACTGCGGACACAGTACAGGAGATGACCAGAGACTGCGGACACAGTACAGGGGATGACCAGAGACTGTGGACACAGTACAGGGGATGACCAGAGACTGCGGACACAGTACAGGAGATGACCAGAGACTGCGGACATAGTACAGGAGATGACCAGAGACTGCGGACATAGTACAGGAGATGACCAGAGACTGCAGACAGTACAGGAGATGACTAAGAGACTGCGGACAGTACAGGAGATGACTAAGAGACTGCAGACATAGTACAGGAGATGACCAGAGACTGCGGACATAGTACAGGAGATGACCAGAGACTGCGGACATAGTACAGGAGATGACCAGAGACTGCGGACATAGTACAGGAGATGACCAGAGACTGCGGACACAGTACAGGAGATGACAAGAGACTGCAGACATAGTACAGGAGATGACCAGAGACTGCGGACATAGTACAGGAGATGACCAGAGACTGCGGACATAGTACAGGAGATGACCAGAGACTGCGGACATAGTACAGGAGATGACCAGAGACTGCGGACACAGTACAGGAGATGACAAGAGACTGCAGACATAGTACAGGAGATGACCAGAGACTGCGGACATAGTACAGGAGATGACCAGAGACTGCGGACATAGTACAGGAGATGACCAGAGACTACAGACATAGTACAAGAGATGACCAGAGACTGCGGACATAGTACAGGAGATGACCAGAGACTGCGGACACAGTACAAGAGATGACCAGAGACTGCGGACAGTGCAGGGGATGACCAGAGACTGCGGACAGTACAGGAGATGACCAGAGACTGTGGACAGTATAGGAGATGACCAGAGACTGTGGACATAGTACAGGAGATGACCAGAGATTGCAGACAGTACAGGAGATGACTAAGAGACTGCGGACAGTACAGGAGATGACTAAGAGACTGCAGACATAGTACAGGAGATGACCAGAGACTGCGGACAGTACAGGAGATGACTAAGAGACTGCGGACAGTACAGGAGATGACTAAGAGACTGCAGACATAGTACAGGAGATGACCAGAGACTGCAGACATAGTACAGGAGATGACCAGAGACTGCAGACATAGTACAGGAGATGACCAGAGACTGCGGACATAGTACAGGAGATGACCAGAGACTGCGGACATAGTACAGGAGATGACCAGAGACTGTGGACATACTACAGGAGATGACCGGAGACTGTGGACATACTACAGGAGATGACCGGAGACTGTGGACATACTACAGGAGATGACCAGAGACTGCGGACATAGTACAGGGGATCACCAGAGACTGCGGACACAGTACAGGGGATGACCAGAGACTGCGGACACAGTACAGGGGATGAC